GCCCTATGTTGGGAAATCCCATGACATCTAAACAAAATTCCCCATTAGATTTCATTGTTCCAAATGTAAGAATATCGATACTTTCATTTTAAGGCCCCTCTGTTTAAGGCTTTCAGATCTCCTGGGACCTTGATAAATGAGCAACCCCTGTTTGACATCAAGATGTCTTGTTCAGTACTGAATTGCTCTAGGCATGAATTCAGGAGCCTAACATCAAACTGCAGGAATCCATCCATACTTTTAAGCCATGTTGTGCCTTCCTGACTCTCTCGCATAGTCACACTAACTCACAACACTTGCCCTCCTTTCTGTGGCTGGCTGCACAGACAGGCTGCATAGGGTAGATTTTGTGAGCATTATCTGGCCATAGTGCTGGGGAATTCACCAGGGAGCCATTCTATCCCCAGCCTGTCAGGGGAGTAGGGTGGAATGGCTTGCAGCACTGCACCCAGATCTGTAAAAGAGACCACAGGCAAACAGGAAATTTGGCTTACCTTATTGCTAGTCATTTATGTAGTATTATTACTGCAACTCTGCAGTTCAGCTCAGAAATTCTCCTGCAAGTGTAATCAATGCAGCACGGAAATTAGGTCATCTTTCTCCAACAAGTCCAACCTGTAGAGATGTAGTTTGTTTCTTTTCTCTTGAAAGGCAAGAGATAGAGATGTTGGCAACTTCTTGACAACCCTTATTCAGTATGCTGTCCAATATGGGCCACTTCAAATGAACAGGATTCTGTGAGGGCTGAGGGCTCCAGGCTTTTCAGAAGATAGTTCCAAAATATTGATCTTCATGTTCCATATGACATTTAAAAAGCACTGTATGTCCTGTACTGCACCTTGGCTCTGCCATAGCTGCTTCTGGAAACTAGAAAGTTACCTGTAGCCTTCATTGCTGTACAGTCTTCTTGGACAGAACCACAAAGGACTGAAAATCTGTGAACTGCAATTTACTGTCAGTTCTGCCTCTCTTTTATAGTGTAGCTGTTTCACACAAAGCTGGTATTAATCAGGTTCTCAAATCAGGTCAAGTTTTGCATTACAACACTTTCAGGGTATGTAAGATTTACTGTTTTTTTGTTGGTAGCAACCATCTCATACAGATCTGAGCAATGATAACTCCTGTGTTGATTCACAGCACCTGGTTTTCCCCTGCCTATCATTTGCGTTGTCATTTGCACCTGAGCAAGCGATTCATAAACAGTTAGTAGTTTGCTCAGGCTGCTGAACAGTGGAGGTGCAGGTTCATTATTTTTGATGAATCAAAGAGCAGCCATTAGGAGCAATCTGAGCACTGTCATGAAGTACACTGTGCGTGGCTAATCTATCTCACCGTGTTTTAGCACTTTTTTTTTTCTGGACTGCCAGTCACTGAGTATATATATATAAAAAAATCACATGACCTGAACAGCTCAGCCATGAGGAAGAGAACAAGTCTGAACATGTCTATGAGATCACCAATGAGTCATGAAGTGTCAGTGAACAGAGAAGGAAAACTGGTCCCTGACTTCCCTAATCAGTGAAGTCCCCTTCCAGTGAAGTCATAATCTGTAGGGACAGTCCCTTCACAAATGAACACCATAGGTGCTTTTCTGTTTCTTTTAAGTCAGCAGCTCCAGGGCTAGGGACAGACATTCAAAAAGCCAGAGCCTGAATTGATTCAATCTTTGCAGGTTAGTCTAACCTGTGTACATTGAACTAATTTGCAAGCGAATAGACATTTAGGAAATGCAGATACATGCCCGCAGTGGCTCAAGCCAAAAGCCGGGGGGCCCTAGAGGGTCCCTCAGCTGCAGGGAAGTTGTGGCCAGCCTGGCAGTAGCCTCAAGCGAACTGGCCAGGGAAGGGGTTTAATTCCTCCCCTCCCTGTCATACCAGCAGGGACCCAAGCTGGGGTCTGCCTTGTGCCCTCTTGCCTTGTCCCCTCTTGCTGCAGCGGGGCGGGGGTGCACCTGGGTGCTGGCCAGCATGGCCCCTGAGGCAGGCAGGGAGGAGTTTTATTCCCTCCTCTGCCTTTGCGGGCTGCAGCCGGGGTCTGCCAGCCCCGACTGCCACTGCTGATCGCTCCCTGCATGGGGCAAGCAGCGGGATAAGCTCCTTCCCTGCCCCCTCTGCCAGACGCCGGAGGAAAGTGGGAAATAACACCTCTCCTAATAGGGCCATGCCGGCTGGCTTCTGGCCACTCCTCTGCCGTTGCTGTTGGAGTGGTGAGGCGGCAGAGACCATGATGGGGGCAGCAGCCCCTCTCATGGTGTCCCAGGAGTGGAAGCCTCTTCCCAGCAGGGGCTGCACTGTGGATGGG